GGTACTACATATATGGCAGACGGTCATAACGTAATCATAATAAGTCATAATAATCACGGTGATAGATTGCGTTGTTATTGTCTTTTGGGATTCACTTCCCACGCATGCGTACACTTTTTCCATTTCGAAATTATAATTGATCATAATGCGTTCAACTGAGATTATGTAATTCGAAAGCTAGTGCGAGTACTCCATTTTTTTCTAAAGAAACATTGTTTATTTACATGAAATTCGAACACGCGCTGCGCGACGACGGAAACGCTAATTTAACCAAACCACCTTATTGTGAATTTATCATTACTCGAAAAGGCAGAAGAAAGTGATTCTCTTTTTAGCTGGTGAATATTTTTGTCATTTTTGGTAAAAAGTGATATTTTTGACTTGTTGTTGAAAACCGCTACTGCTTTGATATTATACATATAGGTACCTCCGGCTGACCTCTCTCTGATTTGTTCATTTCGTGATGATATCTTCAATTCTCTAATTTTGGTGAATATTTTTGTCATTTTTGAATTCTTGTTGAAAACCGCAAGTCATATTGCTTTGATACTATACATATAGGTACCTCCGGCTGATCTCTCTCTCTGATTTGTTCATTTCGTGGTGATATCTTCAATTTTCTAATTTTTGTGAATAGTTTTGTCATTTTTGGTAAAAAGTGTTATTTTTGACTTCTTGCTCAAAACGCAAGTTCTATTACTTTGATACTATACATATAGGTACCTCCTGCTTACATCTCTCTGATTTGTTCATTTCGTGATGATATCTCCAATTCTCTAATTTTGATGAATATTTTTGGTAAAAAGTGTTATTTTTGACGTCTTGTTCAAAACGCAAGTTCTATTGCTTTGATACTATACATATAGGTACCTCCTGCTTACCTCTCTCTGATTTGTTCATTTCGTGATGATATCTTCAATTCTCTAATTTTGATGAATATTTTGGTCATTTTTGGTAAAAAGTGATATTTTTGACGTCTTGTTGAAAACCGCTAGTCCTATTGCTTTGATACTATACATATAGGTACCTCCGGTGGACCTCTCTCAGATTTGTTCATTTCGTGATGATATCTTCATTTCTTTAATTGAAATGTGCATTACTAACAGCGGAGCTAACCGTGATGCTGCTCGTTTGATTTCATCGTGAAATATAACCCCGTTTGTCACGCCGAGTACCGTGGATAGTTCGTTGTATGTAGATATATTAATCACCCTATCATTCATATAGACGTACCGCAAATATTGACGTCGTGTATGATTAATAAGTATACCTAATACCTTTATTGGCAATCTAATGAGATGTTGGCATATATAAACAGAAGAATTCGTTGCCATGGATACCCGATTCTCATATACATGTGCTATCTGGTTTATTAGATTCATCAGTGTTATGATTTCCAACGGCAGAGGGCGCTTCGCTCGTCAGAATTATCATATATATAATGGTGAAACGGTGTCTCCGCGGTTAAGGGCTGCAGCCATGCCCACTTTATATGCATTATCCCATTAATTATTTGTTTAATCTCTGTCGAAATCTGAAGAATACTGTATTAAATGTAATACAGATATTACACGAGTAAGAAATGTGACACTGAATTTAAAACGACGTGCATTTACACGTGTTTTGAGACTGTCCCTTAGTTTCACTACAATGTCACTTCGAACATTTAATGCACGTGACTTCTGTGCTTGATACATTAAAGTGGACCACATTTATTAAATATACTTAGGTCATTCTTCGAGATATGAATAAGCTTACTAATAATGTTACAATAATTTCCGCTTTGTTGTGAGTGGGCAAGGTCAATGCGCACTTTGTACTGCCCATTATTTGTCTATTTCATTCCAAATAAGGTTACCATTCCCTCGGATTACCAGTCGGATATTCGCTTTATGTTTGCTTTAGGTTTAATCAATTATTACATTATTTTGGTTCCTGTTAGTACAGTGACATTTTTGACAAGTACTCATCTTCCATTCCTACACTTCCGCTGGTTCCCGGCGTCCCTTGCGAATGGTTTGGTACGCCATGACACTTGAAGGTGGGAACCAGCAAATTCACTGTGAATATAATCATAGCCCATCTTTCTATAGAGGTACTGTGATATAGTCAACGCTAGTTATTACTAGTAGTAGTCTACATTTAGTTGCCAAGCAACATTGTTACCACCCAACATTATGGTATGAGCATATGAACTGCATACATTTTCTTATTTATTCCCGCTCTCGTCCCGCTGTAGATTGTATTGACAATCTCCACCTCCCACCATTATATTGAAAATCTCAACTTTCCCGTCGTGTTGATACACATCGGACATTGATACATCGGACTCGTGATGATAATCTTAAATTTCCCACCGTGTTGATAATTACCATTATCTCATCGTGTTGGAAATCTCAACTTTCTCACCGTGTTGATAAATCAGGTGTCCTTATTCAAGTGTGTTAATATCGGAAAAGTGTGATTTCGCGGAGCACCATGGATCGATGTACCACGCTTGATGAACCACGCCAGTTGCATACTGAAGTCTGGCAGCCGTCTTTCCTTTTATACAACCCAAATCGCGGTTTAAAATCATGCGCATAAGGTATTATCACGTGGCTAGAATGAGTTCATGTGATTATGATTATAATAATAACTGTATTGATATTGATATTGATAGTGCTATTGTAATATATATACATATATATACTGTTCACCATATAACAGAAATTGAATGTGACATCCTCGTCATATTGTCATATAATATAATATACCCTTACTACCTCAATCGGGGAAGGAAAGAGCCCTTTATATGAGGGCTGAAAATCCCATCATCGCCCGTAATTACGGCATTGCTACCTTCAAACGAGAGACGATTAGGGAATAAACGGAACTTGCCTGGCAACGATGAGTCTACTATTGTTGCAGCTCAGTGGTCTATAGGAAAGCATTATGAACATAGCGGGCGCTTTGGGCTGGACGATTCAACTATAGAAAATAATGTTCTTTTTGCTGAATTGTATGGTGAAAATGGCGTCGATTGTTAATATTTCAGCATTTGGTTACCTACGCAATAGATATATTTTTAAGAGGTATCGTTTAGAGAATAAAATTGGGATGTGCCATTCAATTCAGTGTCACGGTTGCTATCGGGAAACACGTCCTACACTGATTAGATCCTTCATACTCATGAATGCTCGAGCTTCACTCCAAATTGTATACATACATACATGCTACTGTTTTTAATCATCTTGAGCAGGAGCATGTTACCTTTTAAGTTCTATTTATTCAGAGACATGTCTCGTACATTCTTACAATATTTCATTGTCGAAGACGTTATTTTAAATTGTCAACAGTGTTGCTTCCCATCCCTACGAACCTAATGGTTTAGCCCCACATGTAAAGCTTTTT